ATTAGAAACTGCTAGAGATCGATTGGGTACGCATCGGCCCGCAAACATCGGAATGGATGATTTCCAACGGCATAGTTTTTCTGTCGGATTTCTTCGAAAAAGGAGCCCTCGTCATTTTGCCTAGTGCAAATTTCGCATGTTACGCTCCCGGACAATTTATATTTTTCCAAACCCCTGATCATTTGTCGATTCCTCGCCTTACGAATGTCGTGAACGTTTGTGTGACCTAAGCGCCTGTGCCATGTTTCGAGATCGCTACGCGGTTCCGCGTCGTCTACCGGTGTCGAAGTTGCCCTGCATTCGTCTTGTACGTAATACAGTCCGCCGACACGATTTGCTTTAACCCTTTCGCGAAGGCGGAACTAGCCATCAGTATGCTACTAACGAACGGGTCGTCGTGCCATTAGTGCACACCATACACATTAAGAGTGTCACGCGTTTTTTCAAATCTTAGCGGATTTCGTTGGAACAGCAGAGGACTTAAGGGTGCATCGGATAAAGGGAATGTTGTCGAGGCTTTGTTCTGCATTTTAAAATAAATCTTCACTTTGAGTTGTTGAGGCGCGAGCCAATGCGACGCGCTTAGTGGATGCCGGATATAACCGGCGCGAGCCAATGTGAAGCGTTTAGTGGACGCCGGATATAACCGGCGCGAGCCAATGTGAAGCGTTTAGTGGACGCCGGATATAACCGGCGCTAGTCGCGAAAGGGTTAAGCACTGTGTTACCGTGTTTGTCGATGACGCGTGCACCGCACTTGTCGGAAAGAATGTCAAGATCGCGATCGGCTATCTTCCGACAAAAGGTTCGAACGAAGATCGGGAATGTACAACGTTTCCTCGAGGTTTATATTTGTCGTACCTTTTACTCGCGTGACTATCTTTACAGTACCTTTCCAGCTAACTGCGATCGACGCATTACTCGCCAAGTTTAGTGACGAATGATCCGTTTTCTTAATCGTTTCAAATCTATTCGCGTCGCTGCACAAATGCGAAGTGCACCCGCTATCGAGACACCATTTTTCATCGCGAGATGTATCAGCATGCAACCGTTTCCGCGCGTCCGCTTGCATTCAGACGC